GTATATATGCACATATGCATGTGAGTGCATATAGGCAGTTATGCTTAGTTAACCTCACCTTATTTTTTGAGGCCACGTCTCTCACTGATCCTGGAACTCAGTGCTTGGATAGCCTGGGGCCAGCAAGCTCTACAGGATTCTTTCTGTCTCCTTCTCAGCACTAGACTTATAAGCACATGCCAGGGTTTTTTTTTCCCATGGAGATATGAACTCAGGTCCTCATATTTGAATGACAGGTGCTTTGGTGACAGCCATTTACCTCCCGTAGCCCTGTATTTACTGTTTTTTAAAGTTGAAACCAGAGGGTAGCTTGAGCCATAAGTAGAGACCTGCTTAGGCATCATCTTATCTACAAGAAGGAGAAGAAGAAGAAAAAATAAAGCCCATGTTAGGATTAAACTTAAACATAATTAACCACAGTTACACTCACCTGACCCAGAAAAAGAAAAACAGGAAAGAGAGAAAAGGTATTAGGTATTTCTATAGAAAACAAGACAGAGAAAGAAAAAGGAAAAAAAAAAAAAAAAAAAGAAAAGAAAAGAAAAGAAAAGAAAACAAAGACACAGTAAAGTCAGGCAGTATAAATCACAGACTTCTCTATACTGAATCAGGTAGTGAGTCAAAATCCAGGGATATTTGACAAGAAGCAAGTTGGAGAGGAAAGGTTTTATTTGGCGTACACTTCCACAGTGCTGTTCATCACTGAAGTTAGGACTCAAATTGGGCAGGAACCTAGAGACATGCCTGGCCACGATTTTGCACTGAGTGAGTTGTGGTAGTTTGAGGAGTGGTGACTTGAAGAGTGCTAGCACAGCTTTCACACTCTTTATCTTTTCCTCACTATTTCTTAGAGCCAACATCAGTGCCAGGCATGCAGTATTTACTAGTTATTTTATTTGTCACTGTCTTAGTGCCAAATGCGATGAAACACCATGACCAAAAGCAAGTTGGGGAGGAAGGGCTTTATTTATTTGGCTTACATTTCTACATCACTGTTAATCATTGAAGGAAGTCAGGACAGGGCAGGAACCTGGAGGCAGGATCTGATGCAGAGGCCATGGAGGAATGCTGCTTACTGACTTGCTCCTCGTGGCTTGTCCAGCCTGCTTTCTTACAGAACACAGGACCACCACAGTGGCCCTGGTTCTCTCCATCAGTCACTAAGAAAATACCCTGCAGGCTTGTCTACAGCCAGATTTTATGGAGGCATTTTCTCAGTTGAGGTTCCCTTCTCTCCAGTGACTCTAGATTGTGTCAAATTGACACAAAAACTAGCCAGCACATTATTTAGTAATGTAGATGCTTAAATGAATGTTCATACGTTTTTAGTTCATGAATTTTCTAAATGTAATTAAATTCATTAGTGTGTGTGAGTGTGTGTGTGTGGGTGGGGGGGGGTGCTGTCTGTCTGCCAGAGTATGCAGGTAGTCTGAGGGCAATTTACCAGAGTCCTTCCATCGTGTGGGTTCCAGGGATTAAGCTCCAGTTGGTACGTTTGGTGGCAAGTGCTTTTAATCCTGCTGAGCCTAGACATTTCTTAGTAGAAAAGGGAAGGTTTTTTTTTTTTTTTTGGGGGGGGTAACATTTTGCTTTATTTTGTTTCAGAGCTCTGTATCACAAATCAGTTGCACAATGCTCACTTGTTAAAACTGTCCTAAAATGCGATTTTACTGTTATCTTCTGTATTGGTTACTCTCGTTGTTATGAAGTGCATAAAAGAAGTAGTGAAGGAGAATTTATTTAGCACAGTTTGAGATTATGCAGTCCATCTTGGCTGGAGATTGGGTTGGTGGCTGCAGAAGCCTGCTCATATCTGGAAAGATCAAGAAGTAGACAGCAGCGAACTGTCAGGACTGTAACCCTCAGGGCCCCCTACTGACCCCACTTCTTCCAGCTAGGTTCTTCCACACTTCTCAGAGCAGCGCGAGGAGCCTATGTGGATGTTTTACATTGCCATCCTTGAATATGGCGTTCTGTACAGATAAGTTATGCACAGCGTAACTTTGTCACTGTGACCAAACACTGAGCAGCACTGTGGGGCTGTGAGAGCCCTGTATAAGGTCTTGCTGCATATTCCTAACATTGTCTTCACAACACAGAAGCAAGCAGGCACAATATGCAAATGTCTGTGTTTCAGTAAAAATTTATTTATAGACACTAAAATTTGATTTTTATGCAAGTTTTTTCTGTATTTAAGAATAAGTTGATTCTTTTTCTAACCATTTTAAAAATGTACATGCCTTTAGTCCCAGCACTCTGCAGGCAGAGGCAGGCAGATCTCTGAGTTCAAGGTCAGCCTAGTCTATAGAGTGAGTCTAGGATAGTCAGGGCTGTCCTGGAACTCACTCTGTAGGCCAGGCTGGTCTCTTCAGAAATCGGCCTGCCTTTGCCTCCTGAGTGCTGGGATTAAAGGTGTGCGCTGCCACCACCACCACCTTACTCCCTATATATAGATTTTGATTTGATAGATTTAGAGTGGGGTCCAGGAATGTGCATTGGTTTGAAGAACCCTAAGAAACTTGGATTCAAATCTTAATATTATAGCAAGTAGCTGGCCACTCAGGTAGCAAGTAATTGTCTGTCTCCTCCCTCCAGCCCATGCCTACCATGCCTGGGTTTTCAAATGGGGAAAATGCCTGTTCAACTGGTGCTAAATACATGATACACAGATGTGAAGAAAGAGGTTATTAATGATTAAATTTGGATCAGGTTCTGTAATCCCTTTGATACTCTAATCACTTTGTATTTACATATTAAAAGTGTTACTCTTTCCTTTTTGTGGTAAATGTCTCCCTTCTGTAGTCCTCCCTCCCATTAACACCTGCCTCTCTCATGTGCCCTGTGATGCCATTCTTAGGGCTTGCCTTCTCCCCCTCATTCTGGTTCAGTCCCTTCAGTTTGTTTATGGAGAGTTCGCTTGTGATTCTGAAGAAACCCTAGTTTTGGTTCACACATGGTCAAGGGCATTTAGAAGATAAAAAGCAGCTGAGTTCTTGGGGCCAACAAGCATTAGGGGAAATTTAACATGAAGTAGAAGTTTGAAGCTGAATATTGGCGCATGCACACTGTGTTTTCAGGGTTGGTGCCAACAGTTAAACACTCCCCAGGCTGAATCCTATGTTGTCGTTGTTGTTTTTTCTTTATTCTTACTTCTCCTATTGTCATCTAATACTTTGGTTTGATTCTGTTTTTGATCTCAGAATTAGTGGTTACTGTGTGTTGTGTTACAGCAAATACCTTTTGCACATGCTTACTGCTCAGTTGGTTCTGGTGTTTCTTAGACTCTTCATTTAGTTTCCTTCTTTCTGTGTTATTTTCCTCAAAAAATAATTTTGCCAGGGATTGTCTTTGATTGTTAGTCATCTTTGTCTGATTATCAAGGTTTCATCCTCTGTGTTGCATATGTGTGAGGGAGTGTGTGCATGGGCGTGTATCATAGCAGATGTATGGAGGTTGGTGAACAACTTGAGGGAGTGAGTCAGTTTTCTGCTTTCAGCATGTGGGCCCTGGGAATTGAACGGTTGCCAGGTTTGGTGACAAATGCCTTACTTGCTGAGCCATCTTGTATCAAATTTAAATTGTTATCTTATTCTATGAAGTTATCTCTATCTTCAGCCTTTGCCCTCTGCTCTTGCAGACAGAACTAGTCATCATTTTCCTCTTGTGTGGCTTTAATGGTTTTCTGTTTGCTTTTGTTTGTTTTTTTGTTTTTAATCTGAAGGAGTATGTAGTTTCACCATGGTTTGTCTAGATCCTGCTTCAGTTTCATTCTGAATACCATACATATCTTTCATCAGTTCTGGAAAACAATCATTATCCTTTTGAATATTATCTTCTTGAATTTAACATTTTGTATACATTGCAATAAATATCTCAGTTTCCTGCTTCCGTTTAAGTCCCATTTGTATTTTTATTTCATGTTTGTGTTACCTTTTTAATTAATTTCTTTTACATCTCTCAGTTCCCTAATTCATTCTTTTAGCCCCTCCTCTTTTTTTGGTTTTTGGTATTTGTTTTCAGACAGGAGCTTTCTATGTAGCCTTTGCTGGCCTAGAACTTGTGTTGCAGACCTGTTTGACTTTAAACTCACAGAGATCCTCCTGCCTCAGCCTACCAGGTGCTGGGATTAAAAGACTTGTGCTATCATCCCTAGCCTACATCTTTTAAACTTTAATGTTTTATGTATCTGTTGAGTTGTCTTTTTACTTTTTTTTGGGGGGGGGGTGGTTCGAGATAGGGTTTCTCTGTAGCTTTGGAGCCTGTGTTGGAACTCACTTTGTAGACCAGTGTGACCTTGAACTCACAGAGATCTGCCTGCCTCTGCCTCCTGAGTGCTGGAATTAAAATCTTGTGCAGCCACCACCACCTGCTTTTACTTTTGTTTTTATTTATGTAGTTGAAGTCGGATCAACTATAGGGTCTCATGCGTATTAGCTATGTGCTTTATTTATTGCTGAGCTGTATGTCCAACCCTAGGAGTCCTTTTAAAATTATTTATTATTATGTATATGTATCATGACAGGATTGTATAGACAAACACATGTCCCAGAGTGTGTGCATGTGAAGATCCAAAGGCAACTTTGTGTAGTTGATTCTTCCCTTCCATCTTTTCCTGTGGTTTCTCAGGTCATCAGGCTTTATTGGCGAGGGTAGCTCTCTGCCCATACCTCTACAGTTGAGAACTTTTACACTGTGGTTTTTAAGAGTCTTTATTCACACTAGTCTTCTCAGAGTTAGAGTTCTACATAGGTAGTTGTTAAAGAGAAATGTTAGGCTGAAAGGTAAAGGTTATGAACTAACAGCATTTATTAACTGTGAGTTGTGTTTTTGTGGTACCTTTTGTTTCTGTGGTTATGTTTTGGGTTGAGCCTGGGTTTTGCACTTTAGCTCATTCCTGTTTGTTTGCTTTTACATATTTAAAGAACTTATATAAAGTGTAAAACTTAGTTTTTTCTTTTCCTCCTAAACTTTTTAAAAAAATACATTTGCTTTATACCTAGGTGACAAGACACGCCCACCTTCCTCAAGCCCCTCCAGCATTATCAGGCGCACTTCCTCCCTGGATACGCTTGCAGCTCCTTACCTTTCTGGGCACTGGCCCCGAGATAGTCGAGGTCAAGCCACGCCCTGCATGAGGGACAAAGCTACACAGGTAGGTTTTCCTTCCTTGTTCTACTCTGAAGCATTCAGTGCACATCAGAATCTCCTCAGAAGCATATCTGAAGTGCAGGTCACCTGGTCTAGTGTCCAGATTGTCTGCTGAGTTATGTTTCAACTTGGAATGTCCATTTTAAAAAGTTCTCAGAGGTAATTCATATACAGACAGATAATTGTGGTTGTACTTTTCCCCATTTTTAAATTAGAAGTTAGGTTAGAATTTCACAATATTTTTATATCTGGACTTTGGACTTAAATTTGTAATAGGAGTGCTCTGCAAAGAATTTAACATTTTTGTGTCAAAAATATCCATCATGTATTGGGAAACTATATTATATTGCTGATAATTCTTTTTTTAATTTAGTGTGGGTATCTGTTTATGCCATAGAGTACATATAGAAATGAGAGCACAGCTTTGTAGAGTTCATTCTCTCTTTCCACCTTAATATGACTCTGGGAATAAAATACAAGTTGTCAGCAGTGTGCCTTTATTAAGCTTGTTCACTGCCCCCATTATAAATATACATAAATGCAAACATCTCAAAATGGAAGGCTGAAAGTGAAGTTTCGTTCTTTTACGTTTATAAAACTGATTCATTAAAGGGATCTTAGAAAGTCACTCAAAATGATTTATAGTTAAAGAATTGAAGTCCAACTGGGCAGTGGTGGTGCATGCCTTTAATTCCAACACTTGGGAGGCAGAGACACTTGGATCTCTGAGTTCCAGACAGCGTGAGTTCCAGGACAGGCTCCAAAACTACAGAGAAACCTTGTCTCGATAAACCGAAAGAAAGAAAGAAAGAAAGAAAGAAAGAAAGAAAGAAAGAAAAGAAAAGAATTGAAGTCAATATTGTACAGGCATTTCATGATTGCATGCTAGTTAGAAGTTCTTTTTAAGGTATTACTTATCACATAATTAATTAAATCTCTGTATAATTCTGTATCCATTGTTTTTCATAATTACTAGATAGTGATTCCCGGTGAGGTGAAGATTTGTCTGCCTTACTGTTGCTGTTTTCTCAGGGTTACACCTGACATAGTAAGTGCCGACGGAGCTTTGCAAAGCAGTGCACCAGCAGCACAGTATTGCCTATTGTTAATGGAAAATGAAAGACTTTAAGCACTTAATATTGCTGGGAATCAGCCAATTGGTGTCTCCATTGTGGATTTCAAGCTTACACCATTAGTAGTTGCTAACAATGCATCCCAGAATTTTTGAAGAGAGTCATTTTTTTTTCAAAGGCAACCACACACAGTTTGGGATGTGGATTTCTAGGCTTCCAGGTATTCCTGCAGAGTTGTGTTTTCTGGTAGGATACTCTTGTAGCCAAGTCCTTCCATTAGGTCAAATGGTTGGGGTTTGGGGTTGGTTGCTCTGAGGCTTCTACTCCAGGGCCAACTAAAGGAAAGAAATGAAATGAGTCTTTTCCTCACAAAGCATTTTTGTTTTTGTTTTTGTTTTCCCCTGAAATAGTTAAAAGACTTCCATAGAACTCCTTATTTAAAATCTGTAACTGCTATACTTGGTACAAAGCAGTGAGGAAAATTAGTACAGTACAGTTTCCATTTGGCTTTTCTCCATAGTAACATGTCATTTGTGTGTGTGTTTGGGTTTGCTTAAACCTCTCTACTATCTCAGGGTCCATGGGCTAGGGTCTCCTGCAGTATTAGTAAGAGCATACTGTGCTATGAGCTTGCTCTATGGACATAGTTGAGAAAGCCTTTTCAGTAGTCACTGGGCCTTGGATTAACCTGTAAACCTCATATTCTCAGTGCCCATAAATTAGGAATATTAAGGGCACAAATAAGCAAGTATATAACTCTCAACACTGTCAGCTGTCAGTCTTGATTGTAAAATCTCTAAGAATAATACAGTGATAGTTGAATACCTTTTTTTTTTCTTTTCTTTTTTTTTTTTTTCTTTTAAACAGAGGTCCCTTTTGTTATAGAGGCCCTTTGGAAGGGAAACTAATAAAAATTTATTATCCCAGGTGGTGGTGGTGGTGGTGGTGGTGGTGCACACCTTTAATCCCAGCACTCAGGAGGCAGAGGCAGGCAGATCTCCTGAGTTTGAGGTCAGCCTGGTCTACAAAGTGAGTTCCAGGACAGCCAGGGATGTTTCATAGAGAATCCCTGTCTTGAAAAACACACACATATATATGTGTATATATATATTTCTTATTGGCATATATTTCAAGTTAACTATAAGTTAACTAGTAAAAATCTGTACTGCTCTAAAATTATGGGGCTAGAGAGATGGCTCAGCAGTTAAGGGTATTGACTGCTATTTCAGAGGACCCAGGTTTAATTCCCACCACCTACTTGGCAGCTCACAGCTGCCTGTAACTTCAATTCCAGTGAATCTGATTCTCTCACTGGAGCATGCAGGTCAAACACAGATGCACATAAAAATAAAAAAATTAAAATTATAATAAAAAGTTTTATTGTAATATTAAGTTTTAAAGGGGCATAGAGGACGCAGTAAAGAACCTTAATTCATATTCCACAGAACCTGCTGTGCACAGCTCAGTATTGTTTAGCAGCATGCATCTATAATCTCAGTGTAGATGGGGAGGCAGAGTCCTTAGAACCTGCTGACTATCCTGTGTGCCTGAATCAGTGAGCTCTGGCTTCAGTGAGATACCTGGTCTCAAGTGGAGTGGCAGTGGCAAGCAGCAGAATGGGCCCAAGGCGAATTACAGGACTAGGAGGAGGAGCTGCTGAAGGGGGAGCAGAAGGTGGCTGTACCAGCAGCACACTGTTTATGTGTCAGTTTGACACTCATTGTGTCAGGTCAACTGCACATTGACGCTCTCCAAGATCCACGTTGTCCACACATATGTCTCCTGTATTTTCCTTGTCATTAGCCAGACTCAGGAAACCTCAAGAAATTGTGCAAGGACAAGAAATACAAGCTCCTACACTTGTGACCCAAGAATATGAGAGCCATGCACCACCAGCTCACTGAACACAAAGAGAAGCTGACAGCCAAGAAGCAGCAGTTTAGGACATAGCTGAACATGCTTCCCAGTATAGTAGTCAAGTCCTGAGGTATCTGCAACAGTAAACACAAAGCTGGCACATGCACACATGTAAACACACATACAGCTCAAAAATTTTAAATTATATTTAACTGTATAATGTTATTTTTGACCATTTAACGATTTTGTTGGCAATTTTTTTTTTTTTGCATTAAAAAAACACTAATTAGAAACTACAGCCTATACAGTTATTCAGAGAAGCTTCATTCCATTGGCTAGGACAGAATAGACAGTTTTGAACATATGATGTCCGGCACTAGCCACTTCAGGAAGACTATCTTACTTAGAGTGTTTTGTGAGTCACAGCTGCAAGGTGATGTAAAAGGTTACTAACAATGTGCTGAAGTTGCAGGTTCAGGGATCAAAAAAGTTAAAAAGTACCTCACTGAAGTTGAGAGGATGCTAGAACATTGAAACAGACAGACCATGGCTCTTATAGACAAGTAATGTTGAAGCCATTGAGATACCTACATCCAAAAACTATGGAGACAGGTATGGGTATATTGTAGGAAGACAACTGTGGATAATAATCTATGAACCCAACCCTATCAACAGTTTCCTGTGGGTTCTCCTTTTTTTTTTTTTTTTTTTTTTTTTGGTCTCTTTGTTTGGTTTTATATTAATGGAAGCCATGTTCTATAGCATTCTTGCTTGAATTTCATCTAAGACATCTCCCAGAAAAGTGATATTGCCTCTGAGTTCATTCCCTTCACTATTCTAGAAGGTATGTGTTAGCATCTTCCTATCCACACATATCCCATGATCTCTAGCATTTGGAAAACTTGTTGAAAATGAATGTTCCCCTTATGTGTTATGTAAATCATTGTATCAAAATTATATTGTTCATGAGATCTGTAATTGCTGCAAGATCCATGATTGCATAGAGAGAAGTTCCTTTACTTATACCATAGTGCAGAGAGAAGAGGGGTCACCGGTCCCAGAGAGATCTACTTGTTTCCTTTTATTGTTTTCTGTAGAAGTCTTTTGTTTAATTCAGCAACTTTAAGAAATCTTGAATTTTTCCACAATGAAATGATTCTCCCGAATGTTCATCAGTATATTTCTAGATACTTGTAAATAGGAATGTACTCTTAAGTGCTCAAATCACAAATTTTTTGCCACAGTGAAAGTGCCTGCATGCCACTCAGTTCTAGTTGACAGAAGAATTCAGTTACCAGTTTTGTTCTATTTTTATCATTTGTTGCTTCTTTATTAACCTCTACATAACTTCAAAGAGATGCTGTAAAGAATGGTACTGATTTTTCTTCATAACCAGACAGAAACAGTTCATAGGAGACCAAACTGTATGCCCCAGTCTCCAAAACAAGTTATTCTTGATTTGTTTTGTTTTTCAAGACAGGGTTTCTTCTCTGTATGGCCTGGCTGTCCCGGAACTCTCTGTAGACAAGGCTGGCCTCAAAATGCTCTCATGCCTCTACCTCCCAAATGCTGGAACTAAGGTTGTGCACCACCATCTCCAGCTTAAAAATAAATTATTGTTTTTACTTGCTGTCCTAAACCTTCTTTTAGGTTTGCAATAAAATTTCCTATGATGATGGGTTGCAAATGTCCAACATGAATTTTTTGGCACCATTAGGTAAATTGAATTTAACCACAGTCTTCTGGGGAAGAACAGACAAAAGCTGACCTTTTACTCCATGTTCTGAGCTTTGTTCAATTACTTGGAGCAGCAGGTGCCTGTGTTAATAATTTCTGTTTATTTGAGGTTTAGGGTCCTAAGAGCAGCACTGCTTGCACTCAGCCAGTCTCTTGACTCATTGCTGTCTTCTGATAAATAATTCAAAGAAAACTGCAAATTTGCTACTACTTTGTTTTGAAACTGGAACTACAGATACTGATCAAGCATTTTCTGGTAGAAGAGCTAATACACAGGTGGTGATCGCCAGATGCTACACTCCTTGTTGGCCCAGCCTCCTCCTTACATGTCCTGCCTCCATGCTAGTTTAAAGCTTACAGATATCTATTTCTGGGCCAGCATGATGGCTCAGTGGGTAAAGATGCTTGCCAACAGAGCCTAATGGCTTGAATTCAATCCCTCAGACCCTCATGGTGGAAGGGGAGAACCAGCTCCTATAAGTTGTCTTCTGATGTCCACATAGCTCTGTGACACTGTTATACATACCCATACCTATTAACATACACTGTTAATAAATGACATATCAGTTTCTGTAATTCATCTCTTTTCAGAATAGAAATAAAATTCATAAGGGATAAATAACTTCTCTGAGGTGTCACATTTTATAACTGGTGTAGCATTTAGTCTTATTTTTTGATACCAACATGTATTCACTGAACCCTGTGAATTATGCTGCATAATTATCCTATTTTAATATTTAAAAAATTTAGTACTGAACACCATTAGCTTTGTTTTTGTTTAGTGTGGATACTTTATGCTCTGTGGTTTCATTTGTAGGTTGGTCTTTGTGATGGGTATTTTTGTTGTTTTGGGGGTTTTGTTTTTGAGACAAAGTCTTACTATGTATCCTTGGCTGGCCTACAACTCCCTATGTAGATCAGGCTGGCCTCAAGCTCAGAGAATGCCCCTTTTGGGTGCCACTATGCCTGGTGTTACAGGTGTTTTGGCAATTGACATAGAGCCTATAGTGGCATTTGGAGGTCCCAATGGGAAGTAGAATTTAGAGTGGCATGGTGGTCACTGTCTGAACTGAGTCTTGAGATTCAGTGTTTAGGATCCATTGTCAGAGTACAGTTCTCTTCAATGTAGGGAAGCCTGGCCTGGGCAGATGACTAGTTAGGATCACAATTTCTTGATTTTAGAAAAAACTTTCATTTTTATTTCCATCTAAAAGTAGACCATTTTATAGTTAGTAAGTAAGTAGTATGTTAAGAATACCCAAATTGCCAAACTGAACAGTAATTTTTGAAACACTATTGCTTTGAATAAATATATATGTATATAGGAAAAAGTTCAAGAGGTACAGAAAAGTACACTGCAGAGTCTTTTCCCAACAAGGGGCAAATAATAATCGGTTTCTTTTGGTACCATGAATATTCTTTAGAAACAAAATATAACAGAAAGCCATGTGATACTCCATCAAGGGATGGCTTCTAACTCCCTATGTGGCTAAAGATGACCTTGAACTTACTTATAATCTTCCCACCTTTACCTCCTGAGGTTTGAGTGAACCACCAGTCTGATTTATGCAGTGTTGAAAAGGCACAAACTCAGGGCCTTTGCATGCTAGGTAAGCACTCCACAAGTTGAGCCACACCCATCCCTGATCCTGCGTATATTCTTACAGAGATAGTTTATTTAACATGTATATTTTCGGTTAACAGTTCCAGGTGGTAGACGGTTTCCATACACACCATATTAAGTCTTGCATTTTTTTACTAAGTACATTTAAAGAGTGTTTATATATATCATATTCTCATGTTCATTTTTTTCAATAGTTGAATAGGATCCTGTTGAAAACGTGGAGCCAAGCCTAAATAAATATGGCATGTATTTTAGGGTTTTCATTACTGTGAAAAGACACCATGACCACAGCAACTCTCCCGCTTACAGTTTCAGAGGTTAAGTTCATTATCATCATTGTGGGGAGCATGGTGGCATGCAGACAGATGTGATGCTGAAGTAGCTGAGAGTCCTGCATCTTTCAGGCAACAGGAAGTCAACTGAGACACAGGCTTGTATGCTGAGGATAGGGAACTTAAAAAGCCTGCCCCCATAGGGATTCATTTCCTCCAACAAGGCCATACCCACTCCAACAAAGTTAAGCCTACCTACAGTGCCTCTTAATTTGGGGGCCATTTTCTTTCACACCATCAGTTTGTTTGTATCAGTCAGGTCTTTTACTCAAGAATGGTGCTAGAAGGAATTTTGTAAAGGCTTTGCTTTCTAAAGGTGTGTATTTGGGGGACAGGGAGATAAATAGCTCAGTGGGTAATGCGCTTGTTATGCAAATGTAAGGACCTGAATTTGAGCTCCAGAACCAAAGTAAAAAAAGTGGTAGTGGCCAGGTAGTGGTGGCTCATGCCTAAGTCCCAGCACTGGGGTGTCCGAGGCAGGCAGATCTGTGAGTTTGAGGCCAGTCTGGTCTACAGAGTGAATTTCAGGACAGCTAGGACTACACAGAGAAACTCTGCCTTGAATAACTGGAGAGGAAAAAAAAAAAAAAAAAAAAAGAAAAAAAAAAAAAAAAAGCTGGTAGTGGTGGCACATGCTTGTAATCTGGTGCTGAGGGTGCTGGATTTGCTGGCTAGCCAGCATTGCCTGTTTGGTGAGTCTCAAGGCAATAATAAAGTATCTCAAAAAATAAGATGAAATGCTCCTGAGCAATTTTTAGTTGAAGCTGTCCTCTGGCTTCCACACATGTCCCCCCTTCCACATGAACATATAGGTGCATACACATGCACAGAGATGAACACTTTATATATCTGCAAGGTAAGTTACCAGAAGAGGAGTTGAATTGTCAAGCAGTATGTGACTTATAACTGACACCAGCTGCCAAAGTCTCAAAAGACTGTCCTAATTTATACCTTCACCAACAATTGTAGGAATGTTTATGTTATCAAATTTTTCCCAGTCATAGGTCAGTTTAAGCTTGATTTCTCATATTATTCATGAGGTTGAGCATATTTTCTTTTCTTTTTTTGGGGGGGGGGAGGGGAGAGTTTGAGACAGTATTTCTTTGGTACTTGCTTGGTAGACCAGGCTGGCCTAGAACTCACAGAGATTCGCCTGCCTCTGCCTCCAGAGTGCTGGGATTAAAGGCATATACTACCACACCCAGCCTAAGAACACAGGAATATTAACTACTGTTACTGTGCCTTTATATTTATACTCTGCTCTATACTTTTAGATTTGTAAAGGCCGACCTTATTAGTATTGGAAACGAAAGAGGTTAAAGTATTTATTATAATTAACTAGTGCAAAGAGGCTTTTGGGTAGTTTGTGAAATTTAAAATGTGCTGGAGACATGGCTTGGTGCTTAAGAGTACTGTTCTTGTACCCACATGGTAACTCAAAATTATCCATAAGCACACACAAGGTGCATGCATATATATACATGCAGGCAAGACACTTACACAAGTAAAATAATAAAATCTTCAAAAATTAAAATATGTTGTAATAATACTTATAATTTTGATGTAGCATACAATATTTAATAGAAAAAAAATCTGATGCAACATTGTTAAATACTTTTTCTTAAAATAACTTTTTTTCCCTCTACAATAGACCGAGAGTGCATGGGCTGAAGAATATGCCGAAAAGAAGAAAGGGTCTCATAAGCGCTCAGCATCCTGGGGCAGCACAGAACAGCTTAAAGAGGTCAGCAAAATGTTCCATAGAAGCAGAAATATGCCTTTTCCAATTGGCTAGTTGCTTAAAGTTGTGGACTGCAAAGATTTGTCATTTTCCTAGTACAGGGAAGGGGTGTGCGGGTGTGTATGTGCACGTGCACGCATGCTTATGTAGAGGGTTTGCCTGCAGAAGGTGTGTGTGTGTGCACGCGTGCGCATACTAATGTAGAGGGTTTGTATGCCTGTGCATGAACATATGGAGACCAGAGGTCCATGTCAGTTTTTGGCTACTTTTCACTCTGCAGTTTTGAGATAAGGTCTCTGACTGAGCCGCTCATTGTTGTAGTTGTTTGTACTGATTGGCCAGTGAGCCCATCTTTCTTACACCTCCTGTTAATCCCATAGGAAGAGAGTAAAGACCGGTACCCGAAGTCTTTGGTCAAATTAAACAAACTTTATTTTCTGTGTCAGACAGGGCTATCTCCCCAAAACAGGGTTTGAAAATAGAGCATTGAACATAGGAAAAAGTGGGGCTTATATAGCCCCTTAAAACTGCAAGGCCTAGGGGGTTTTCAAGGGTTGGGAGTTCCAGAGGAATTTCGAAATTATTTGGCAGCACATATTTTATCAGAGTATATAAAGGTGTGAATATAGGATGGGGAGCACTTTGAGTTTTGCAGCAAACAGAAATATACTTGTTCTGACCTTATAACAAAATGGCTTCCAGTTTTAGGTTGGAGTCAGGCTAATCCTTCATTCCCCCCCTAGTCTTATGTATCTCTTTCAAATCTTGATAGGGAATGGTCATTTATATCTGCTGTATGAGCTGATAATGGCAGCAGAGGGCAAGTATTGGAGCATTTTCTATTTGGTGAGAGACAAAATTTGCATTGTGACTAGCTTTTCTCTATGTCTGATTGGTTAGCATAGAAAATACAAATTTTTCTTAAAAGCCACCTCTTTGTTTTATATAGACCATGTTGAGTGCCTATCACATTGTAGAACTATTTTAGCTAATGATCTACCTGTTGATAGATCTTGGTCTGTTTGGTTTCAACAGGTACCTTTCTGATAATGAAGAAGCCAGGTATGCCAATAGGCATTCTATATATAGCCATTTTGTCCCCTTTGTTAGGGAGTTTCCTTTGGATTGAACATCCCAGCCTTTGTTGAGGACAAGGGATATATATTCTCTTCTTCAACTGCTTCCTGCTGAAATGAGGATGTCATTATCAGGCCCAGGGAGACTGGAGTATTAATCAAAGGTCGGGAAAGGGTTCGGGCAATGAGGTATTCATCAGAGGGATCTGGTTTGTTGACCCAGCACAAAAGATGGGGAGCAGTCATGTTGGTATGTTGGTTGGATTGGTCCACATCATTTTTCAGCCGGTCTAGGGCTTTCTGTTTGTTTGTTTATTTATTTATTTTTTATTATTCTTTTCTTTCTCTGTATTGTTTTGGAACCTGTTCTGGGACTAGCTCTGTAGACTAGGCTAACCTGGAACTCACAGAGATGCCTCTACCTCTGCCTCTGCCTCTGCCTCCTGAGTGCTGGAATTAGGCTTTCTGGTTTTGTGAACTACTTGGGGCTGCTGTGGAGCAGTTTGTAGTACACAGCTGATGCCTGGATGTCTACCAGCCATGTGGAACCCCACCAAGACAGATACAGACTAGGGACAGATGTTAAAGTTAAAGAACTTAGGGAAACTTTTATATTTGGAGCTTCCAGACCCATAGTCCTGGTGGTTGAGGGAGGGAAGGAGTCCCAAGACCATGGGAGAGAGAGGGATTCTACCCTAAGGAGCAGACAGGTGAGGAAACTGTTGATTGACAAGTTTACTTATGATACATTAGTATTAATATTGTTTGTAGTCTGTACTGAAATCCTCATTGTAGAAAAAGCAGCTAACAGGTGCCTATAAAACAACTGGAGTAAATTCCAAGACAGCCAAAGCTCATAGAGAAACCCTGTCTCCATAAAAACAAACAGAAAATTGTAGTGACTTACTGGCTACCTGGATGATTACCCCAGTAGGTCCCAAGAGTAGTATTGTTGGGGAAGAAGTCAGTTTTTGACTGACACACAGGACAGATAACATAGGCCTTAAGGCTGCCAGACTTGAAGGTCAAGAGATTTTCCTGTGGAGAAGGAACTTTGGCCAATTGATTCCACTTTTACTAGACATTGTAGGGCAGTCAGTGCAACAGTAATCATAGTTTGTGCAGTGCCTTGGCTGCAGGTGAGGCACAGGGCAATTTTTCCCAGTGGTAAGTGTCACCACAATCCAGGTCTGTACCCATTGTCTTCTTTGGAGACCTTATTGCAGTTAGCAGCTAGCAGCTGGCATCTCTTGTTTATCATAGGAAGGTTTTTTTTTTTTTTTTTTTTTTAATTAAACATTTAAAATGCCATATTAAGCAGATCTCTGAAAACTTTTGAGGGACATTTGATTTAGGTAAACTTTGTTTTTAGTTATTTACTTTCGGCCTAACCCTAAAAAAAACATACATAGGAGGCTAAACAAAGCTTATTTCTGTAAATAAATTCCATTTGTACCCAGCATGACTATAAGCATGTTCCGAACATATTAATTTGGTCATTTATAAAGTGACTATTAATCCACATTTTAATTACTTTTTAGAAGTCTATATATAAGTTAGTAACTTTTATAAGATTGGGATCCAAGCTCCCTCCCTCCTTACCCCTTGTTTTGTTTTATGAGACAGGGTTTCTCTGTGGCTTTGGAGCCTGTCGTGGAACTCTGTAGACCAGGCTGGCCTGGAACTCACAGAGATCCGCCTGCCTGTGCCTCTGCCTCTGCCTCTGCCTCCTAAGTGCTGGGAATAAGGTATATGCCACCACTGCCCAGCTCTGCCTCCTAAGTGCTGGGAATAAGGTGTATGCCACCACTGCCCAGCTTCAACATAAACAACTTGATTATAGATGGCTCTGTGTTTTGGTTATTGTTTTCTGTGTCTGTAATTAATGGCATTGCATTTCACCCATAATAGAAATAAATGAGAAAAATGCAATCTAAGAATAATAATGAGATAGCCATTGAAACTTTATAGCCAGGCATGGTGGCACACACATGGAATCCTTGCGTGTGGGAGGAGGAGGCAGGAGGATCAAGGCTAGTCTTGGTGTGGAGGTTTGAAAGAGGTGTCTCCCATAATCACATGCCTTTGAATACTTTGTCTCCTGTTGGTGACACTGATTTGGGGTGGAGACTAGGTTTAGGATCTGTGGCCTTGCTGGAGAATGCACAAGGCTTCAAAGTCATGTCATTCCCACTTTGCTCTCTGCTTCATGCTTGTAATAAAAGAGAGGGGAGATAGGGAGGGAGAATGGATGAATCTGAACAAAGAAACAGGCTGATCATATTTCATCAAAACATAAAAAGCAGAAAGTGTAGCAAGCCTATAAAAGCTCAAAGCCTGCCCCCAGTGATATACTTCCTCCAAGAAGGCTCACCTCCAAAAGGTTCCCTTACTTCTCAAACAGCACCATCTGCTGGGATCAAACATGTAAGCCTATAAAGGATAGTTCTCATTAAAACTAGCACACTTGGCTTGATTTGTAAATATCACTTAATTTTTGTATTTGTAAAAATTTTGAAGCTCATCATATGGTGGTGGTGAATTCTTTTAGTCCCAGAAGTCAGGGGGCAAAGGCAGGCAGATCTCTATGAATTTGAGGCCAACCTGGTCTATAGAACAAGTTCCAGGACAGCCAGTGCTATTACACAGAAAAATTCTATCTGAAAAAACAAAAAAATTTTGAAGCTCAGTAAAGTAATCTAAATAAAAAATTAATGGTAAAGGCAACAAGAGAATTAGTTGTTTCTAACCACAATTTAAATGCTGAAAATTCTGTTTGGTACTTGAGAAGATTCAAGATTAAGGATAGTATTGAATATAATTGTTTCTCTTTAAAGGAAATCTATACATATGTGATTTTATATATATGTAATACACACATATATGTGTGTATTATATACACATATATAAAACTTGCATCATTAGATTTTGTAACATGGTTTATAATTTCAGAGTATTAAGGGTGAATTTTACGGGTTCTTAATTAAGCAAGAATATGTTTATTTAGTGTGGGAAACACTCTGGTTCTGTTTTTCCTCTTTTCAGATTGCAAAATTACGACAGCAATTGCAGAGAAGCAAACATAGCAGTCGTCATCATCGAGATAAAGAAAGACAGTCTCCATTCCATGGCAACCATGCAGCTATTAACCAGAGTCAGGTAAGGAAAGAAATTTCTTGTGGGTACGTTTTAATTTTTTAGGGCAAGATGTCCAAAATCATGTTTGAAACAATGGTTTAGGTCCTAAATCACAGCCTTCCTTCCAAACATCCCCCAGATTTCAGCCATTCTATCCCCCAGATTTACAACATTATACCATCTAGGAGACATACCCAATTATACATTTTTTAAAAAGTGTCTTTATTTGTTTACTTTGGAACCTTTTTTCCTCCCCCAAACAGCGTCTCTTTACATAGCCCCAGCTGGCCCTGGAACTCACTGTGTAGACCAGGCTGGTCTACCAGACTCATAGAGAAAAGCTTTCTATTTTGAGTTGATAAATTCTCATGATTGTAAATATGTGTAAATATGTGTACAATAGAAAATATGAGTAAAGAAATATTTTTTTAAATAATTTTGAGCTTTGTAAGTTTATAGTTTGGTTTTAGTTTCTAGTAGCTTTTCCCCACGTATAAGATTGTAATTAAAAATATGATTGAGGGATGTATGGTTTAAGAAAGCATACTGCTCTTGCAGAGGAACACCCAACTTGTAACCAGCTCTGGGGAACCCAATTCTTATAGTTTTCCTAGGCGTCTATACTCACATGCATGTACTTGTACGTACACACACACACACACACACACACACACACACACACAAATTGAAAAGGAAAAGAATGAATTTGGTGGTGCACACTTTTAATTCCAGTACTTGGCAACAGGATGTCTGAGTTGATAAGCTAGCCAGGCTACCTAGGGAATTAAAACCACCCAGGATTACAGTGATACCTTGTCTCAAAAAACCACACTCACACACACCCCTAAAAGAAAATGTATCTTCCTTGAGTCTTTATACTTGACAAAATACCTGTTTGACTTGTCTTGTGTCTTAGCCAACCCCAAATCAGACATGTGATCTTGAATGTCATATTGATGTTTAATTGAAACTCTCAGGCTATAGGCATATTAAGTTATTGGTATGGTGTTGCTTAGGTAGTTTCTTTCTTCAGTGGGAAAAAAAGTACATTTGAACAGTTTATTAAATACTTACCCTCTGATGGCATTGTAGTACTCATTAGGAAAAGTGGCAATAAAGAAATAGTCTCATATTCCCACCAAATCTCATTCTTGAAGGGATGTTAAGTAAATAGTTAATTATAATACTGTACAATGAGTATGTTGATGGGAAGAGGGCACTATGCCAGGGGTGAGCCATTCAGAAGGCTTCTCAGAAACTGTTGTTTGGTTAATTCCTGAAATATGTATAGTTAGCCCATCTTCTAAAGGTGGATAAAGTCATGGCCATAGTAAGGATAGTAGCAAAAAATTAGGAGAGGTAAACAGAGGAAGGCCTGGAAGTGTTTACAGATTAGTTATTAGCATAGTGACTTCATCCTAGCTGTACCAAAGAACATTTTTAAAAAAAAAATTTTTTTTTTTAACATTCCAATCTCAGTTCCCCCTCCCTCCTCTCCTCTGAACCTTTTTTTTTTTTTTTTTTTTAAAGTTGGAAATAAAGCTCATGTTCTCAGATGCATTTTATAATGGTATTATGGGCTTAGGATATATGATGAATTTAGTAGAAGACAAGTATACATGTTGGGAAGTTATTTAAAGAATAAGTAATGTGAGTAAGGAATCATAATTTTCCTCAGGTAATGTAGAAACTTGAATCTGATGAGAAGGTGATAATAGTTGAGCTCTGTTGAACTGCTTACTAAATGACAGGGTATGCCATTATTGACATTTAATCTTCATGTTATAATTTTAATTAACTCCCATTTTATAGACTAGGAAATTGAGATCCAAGAGGTCATATGAGGCAAGCATGAGTTCTAACCTAAGACATTCTGACGTGAGATTCTGAGTTTTCACATTTTGCTGGCTGATGGATGCCAGTAGGTAATGATGAGAGATGAGTAAAAGATGAAGCCAATTTTAGCCTCTGAAGTACATTATTAAAAGTGTATCTATCTGAAAGTCCATTCAGAAGTTATGTAGAAAAAGGGACCTAATACCAATTTGCCATTGGACATGAGTGCTGTGCCCAGTATTCATTGGAGAAGCTTCTGCTGTCAGTGGGCCACAGCTAATGCAGAACCAGAACTGCCAATGTGCCAAGATTAACAGTGTTCAGTTTTAACCAAGACAACTATTATTATACTCTCTAAGGGCCAGAGAACATTTTGGAAGAGGATTTGAAGAGAATATAAAGAATCATGGTTGATGTCTACCTAAAAGATATTCTCTGGATATAACAGATGTTGGGCTTCTGAACTCACTATATTGGTTATTGGCATAAAGCCTGCATTAGTCTGAGCCCATGACATTTCGTTATGCAATGTGGAGGGGCCCACAAATCTCACTGAGGCACTATTGACAGTTAGGGTTGTGGGAGGAAGATGTAGCATTTTCTTGAGTGGTGTAGCCATTGATTAGTTGTTTTTGCTTTAGTGTATAACCTGCCATTCATACTTGGGCAAAAAAACAAAATAAATGCTTGATCAAACCCAAAAGAAGGCATGGATGTAGGGATGGGGACTTGCTGAGTAGAAGGGTTTCAGCAGGGGAAGGAGGGTGGATGCTAGAACTCTTGCTTATAGTCTGTATCCTAAGTCTTGAGATTGTTCTTACCCCAATCTGTTATATTACTTTATCGTCTCCTTATGCATGAGAGGAACCCAGTCACTGGAAAGATACCTGCATGATGAAATGCTGAATTTATTCTGGGCTAGTGAATTGCAGGTTTCTATTCTCTCTTTAGGTTACTGTTTCCTGTCCAGTTTCTGTTCCTTTTACCTCCAGAAAGATTTCTTTCCTCCGATGGCCCATCAGAAGCAAAGTAGTATTAGCTTTGTCTTTCTCCTGCCTTATTTCTGAAATGTATATATTTGAGAGCTTTTAAACCCTTTATTTGGGGCTGGAAGCATGTTTGTTGGTTAAGAGTGCTTGCTGTTCTTCCAGAGGACTGAAGTTCAGTTGAGATCTTTGGACTCTGGGGCACCTGTACATATTATGTACACCACACACATAATTTTTTAAAAAAGGGTAAAACTGTATCTAAAAACAAAGGCAAAAATCACACACATTTTTGCTTGGTCTTGCTTTGGAATTTACACAGGATGGGACGTATATAGGGCAGTGAGGATGGATAGGCAAAAAGACTCGAGGTGTCAGTGACAGGCTATCCTTAGATAGCCATCTCCAGTGACCAGCTTCATACTGCCTCATTGCAGATACAGATAGAAAAGTGGCAAGACTGCAGAGATGGCTCAGTGGTTATGAGCATGAGATAAGACACTCTACAGGCACCTGTCACATATGGTATATAAACACAAAGAAATAAAAATATTTTTAAAGTGTAAGGAAGTGAGGACCGGGGAGGGAGATTCAGGTAGAAGAGAATATAAGCAGTGAAGAGAAGGCATACAGTGATAGCATGTGCTGCTTGCCAGCCTTGTGCAGCTTATGACAAGTGAGGAAGTTAAAGCTATGAGCATTAAAATCTTACCAGAAAGGCTAAGGAGCCCTTGAAACAGAATGCTGGTTTGACTTGATGCTGCAGGTCTACAGAACATTTGTGGTAGTTCTTAAATTTTCTTTGTCCCACCCCATGCTTGCACAGGAATTGAATCTAGGGTCTTGTGCATGTTAGGTAAATGTTCTACCACTGAACTACTTCCCAGTCCTGTAAGAATATTGTGCATTTAAGCATGACCCAATATAGTCCTTTTTGCTTTCTCCCTTAATTTTTTTCCCTAGTTACTGTATGGTTAAATTGATCTCTCTCTCTCCCCCTCCCTCCATGCTCTCTCCCTTTTTCTCCCTCTCTCCCCTTCCCCCCTTTCCTTCCTCTTTCTCTCCCCCTACCTCTGTTGAGCTAAAGCTCAAACCCAGGCCTTATGCATGCTAGGCAAGCACTTTACCACCTGTTTTCATTTAAACAGCTCCAAATTACGTATTTTAGTAGTGTTGAGATTGGTGTGTATGAAGCCCAGGTCCTCACTTGTGTTAGATTAAATATTTACTCCCCACTTCTGTAAATGTTGACACATCCTACCTTCCATATTGGAGCAGATTTCCCTCATGCTGTCCTTTTAGTCATACCTTCCTGCCCACTGATCTGTTGTTCATCCTCTAGTTTTCTCTTTTTGAGGATATCATATCAATGGAATGATACAGAATGTATCCTTTGAGATGTCTTTATCCAGCAATACTCGGTAAATAGATTAAGGGGCTACGTGGATCAACACTTCCTTTTTGTTACCAAATGGGATTCTATTTTAGATTCACCATAGCTTAGTGATACTCATCTTCTTAAGCACATCTCAAATTTATGTGCATTACCCTTTTTGTGTTTTTTTTTTTTTTTTTTTTTTTCCATCAATGTCATGTTTAGTGAAGTGCTTTTCCAGGTCTTGTGCCTGTTTAAGTTGGTTCATTCTTCCTACTGAATTTTGAGAGACTGTTATATAGGCTGAATAGAAGTTTTGTAGGATAAGTAAGTTGTAAATATTTTCTCCCAGTTTTGACTTAACTATCCATCCATTCATTCATTTAATGTCTCTCACAGAGCCAAGAACATTAAAACAAACAAACAAAACAAAAGCATTCTGGTCAGTGGGCATTGTTGGTACACGCTTTTAATCCCAGCACTGGGGAGGCAGAGGCAGAGGCAGGTGGATCTCTGTGAGTTCAAGGCCAGCCTGGTCTTGGTCTACAGAGCTAGTTCCAGGACAGTCTCCAAGCAATACAGAGAAATCCTGTCTTGAAATAAAATAAAATAAACAAACCAACAACAAAAAATTATGGTCAAGTTTAGTGTGTCATGTTTTTCATTCACATGAGATCACTTTTAGTGTTATGTCTAAGATATTTTTGTTTTTTAAGAAAACTTTGAGACTCAAGTTAGAACAGACTTATCCCTACAGAGATTTCTTTCTTCTTTCTGTAACTATCTGTGAGAGTGAAAACTCTGTGAAAGAGAAAGATGATGGT